TTTTTAATTGACCTGGGCAACTTGGTGTTGGCAGAAACAGAATATAGAGTTCTACTTGAATCTAGTGATGTTCTTTTGCTACTTTCCCAATTACATAGTATAATGTATATATTTTTAAAGATCTGTATTCACGTGGTGGAATGAATGGTGATTCTTAGATTTCTTGAAACCACTTATTGTTTAGAAGTAGTTGATCTCCTGAGTTGAGGCTTTGGGTTTTGGAGGATTTTAAGACTAACCATTGCTCATATTTGAATACTTGATAACAGAAATTTTAAGGTTCATTGGTGTTCTTTTTTTTTTTTTTTTCTCTTGGTAAGTATTTTTACTTTTACTTTTTTCTTTTTGTCCATCCTCTGGAAGAGTGAATGGGAATGTTTTTAGTGGATGGGGAGTGGAGTTCAGAAAAGGATGGGAAAGGTACAGCTCTCCTCCAGGTTAATCCTCACTCTTTGTTAGAGCACTTATTTTTATAACTGGGCACAGAGATGTTGGAGTATATTGACTTACTCAGTGGCTTTTAAGACAGATCCTCTGTATAGCCCACACTGGCCTCAAGCTTGTGTACTCCCACCTCAGCTTCCTAGTGCAGAGACATGGGTGTACAGCCCCACGCTTGGCTGGGTCATTATATTCTGGGTGTTTTCCTCTGTTCGGTATGCTAGCAACTTATGATCATTAGTTCAAATGAGACTTTTTATAATTAGTGACATTTTCTCATCTTCTTTGTTCTGGAAACCAGATAGCCTCAAAGGGGAAGATAGGATGTTGCAGAAGGAACTGGTTGTGTTGAGCTGCAGAATCTTAGGCTGCACATTTAAATATGGGCTCGGTAGCAATAGTTCTAGGGTAGATGACCTGTGCATCCATCCTGGAATTTGGTAGCTTTCCTTGTAGGAACTCTTGCCTTGGTTTTTCCTACCTTTGGTGACTCTGGGGTGATAGGGTGAAAGAACAAGCAGTTTCACGTGTTTTTCAAGCTATTTCCTTCCCTCAAAGCCTACCAAATTTGTTTATTGAGCTGAGGTCTAATGAGGAAGTCCTCAGAAGGGGAAGTAGAATGATAAATTTTGGTGAAACCAGTATCTTCTGTCTTTAGCTTGACAGCCTGATCTTTTGACTTTTTGCTCTAATGAACTTTGAACCCTTATTGAGAAGAAGACAGCTGTGTAGGAAGGGAAGGGCTGCTCTGTAGACCTGTTTTTCTCTTAGGGCTTTCTGGAATGTGGGTTTTGTTGGCTCCTTCCTCTAGATCTGGAAGCACAAGACTGATCCCATATTATGCTGTTAGTAGGACTGTTAATTCTTAGTTTTTTAGATTCCTTTGCGTGAGCATCCAAGCTGCTCTTGTTGCAACGCTGGAGAAGACCAAAGCTGAAATACTGAAGTTCTGAAATTAGTTGTTCTTTTCTGCTCATGGCGTGGACATGGGGACATTCAGGACGTTGACTTTTTTTTTCCTTTGAGACAAGATCTTGCTATGTTGTTCATAGCAAGAACTTGAACTCACTATGTAGCTTAGGCTGGCCTGGAACTTACAAGCAATTCACCTGCCTCCACCTTCTAAGTGCTGGCATCATAGATGTGTACCACCATACTGTGACTGTAAAATTTAATGCAGTCTTTTCTTAATTGTTTTTTGGTGTTGGTGATAAAAATATTCATAACTTAAAACATACCATTGTAACATTTTCCTATTCCTGTTGGTGGGAGATGGGATCTAGGTCTGGCTTGAACTCCAGGACTCCAGTGAGCTCCTACCTTAGCCTGGGACTGTGTGCATGCGCTACCAAGCTGAGCTAACTGTTGTAACTTTTTTTGTGGTACTAGAGAGTAAACTCAGTGTAGTAAACTGAACTACATCCTAGCCCTTTTATTTTGATGTAGAATCTCATTTAGTTGTTCAGGCTGGGCTGGAATTCGAAATCTTGCTTCAGCCTCCCAGAGTGCTGGAATTACAAGAGTGCACCGCTATGCCTGGGTTTGTAACTATTCTTAAATGTACAGTTTACCTTAACCCCTTCCCCTCACCATACCTCTTTCTAACTTCCCTGGTATTTTTCCTTTTTCTTTTGCTCTGGTCTAAAAGCTTCGCAGAATAAAACAAATAAATAAAAGCTTATGAGAACTGTTGAGGGTGAGTGGCTTTGAATAGCAGTTTTGGCTTTAATCCCCTATTCCTGGACTCTGAGGTGGGAGTACCTGTGGTGTGGCTCTCTCTTGTCCTCATCCTCCCCCACCCCATGTTGGAGCACAAGGCTCACAGGGGAGAGGCAAACAGCCCTTTGCTCCAGTGCCACCTTCTAGGCCCCACCTTTGTTTACCCTGGGCAGGGTGATTACTCTGCTCTCTTACAACTTGCCACCTGGTGAAACTTAAAATTCCCTAAGAACACGATGTCTAGCTCCCTAGGTAGGTAGATTTGTGAATACAGTCAACTCCAGCAGGGCACTCTGAGCTCAAGGCTAATTTGTAGTATACTTTCTTCCTTTGGAATTCCATCTGTCTGTTTTATCTATCTAAAAAGAAACCCCCGGCATGGCTGAGTGCCAGATTTAAGCTAATCCCCTTCTGTCCTTGGCCTTGTTCTGCCTTTGAGTACCAGCACCCTGTTAGCATCTCACAGTGAGAGCTATGGTGCAGGACTTGGGACTGTCTTTGCATGGAAGATGGTAGCATTTAAAGCAAACTCACAGCCGAGGCTATCAGCCATCTTCTAATTGACCACAATGCTGCTGCCTTCCACCACCACCACCTCGCCCAAGATCTTCACCTCCTAAGCAGCAGAGAATCCTATTATTACCTGAAGGAAAGGACATCAGACTGTCCAGGCTGGGTAGAGGGGAGCAGGCTGAAGGGCTAAAACCACATCTAGTTTGGTTCCTGGTACAAAAAATAAAATAAAATCTTCAAAATCACATCTAGGCAGGCATGCTAAAACCTGAAGTGATTGCAGGAGCCCCAGGAGCGGGTCTGGTGTGCACAGGTAGCTTGTTGGATCTCTCCTGGATTGGTATTTCATTGCTGACTCACAAGGGGTAGACAGACCTTGGGTGGAGTTAAAAGTAGGGTTGTCTTCCTTACTCCTTTAACAAAGTATCAGGTTTTGATTCTGCAGACTTGTTTCTTTATAAAGACAGTTGACTTTGTACGGGAGAAACAAACAAATCAAAAGCAGCTGTGTTCAAGGATAGATATCCCCACCCTATTCTCTGAAGCTTTTTTAGAGGGTCTCATCTTGGACTCTGCTTTTGGTTGGAACTTGTTCTTGTGTTCATGCTCTTGCTGTCCTCCTCCTTTTTCAGCTTTGTAAAGAATTCTATTGTAAATGCCGGATTGTGGGAGAAACTGCCTAGTCTGCTTGTTGTCATGGGAACTGCACCCTCACCCCCAGAGTCTGTTATCATCTTCAGTTTGGGTAACTGCTGAGCTGGATGGAGACTTACATTTCATGCGCTTCCTCCAAATTTAGTTCCATTTTTCATCTCTACGTTTTAGCATCTGATAGAGGGTAAATCATTGTACCATACTTGCCAGTGTTTCAGAGTTCCTGATAACTTGCCTTGCTCTTGACTGACTGGCCTTGTTGAATTTATGAGAAATCTGTGTTTTTCTAGGGGACATCTGTTTTCCTGGAAGAGACAGAAGCAGAGAATACTTGTCTTTGTGAATATTTTGATGTTTTAAGTAGTTAGGGACACATTGTTTCTTAGTAATTCCAGGTTCTGTAGACTGCTTGAATTTTCTTTTCTTATAGTCTAGAGGTTAAATTATAGGTCCAACTCCCTGCTCCTTTTTCCAGTTCCTTGAACCTTCTGTATATGTGGAAATTTTTGTTCGAAGACTGATAATTATTACGAGTCTTTTGAGCTGTATCCCTCTCCATAAGTCTGATGGCCCAGATTTCTATAACTGCAGTCCCCCCTGTCTGCTAGGAAATCAGGGTAATGGAATTCAGGCACAGTCTGGGCTGCAGAAGAGAGATCGTGTTTACCAGGCACTCGGATAAGCATCTGAACTGGGTAGTGTGCTGGGCAGATTAAATTCTTACGTGGTTAAGGTAGTCATAGGAAGGAAGCTTTTTTTGCCACATGCAAACTGCCTTCTGCATTTCTTCTTTCTCATTCCATAGCCAGTTCACACAGACTCCAGCTTCTATCTCGTTGTAGAATGAAGGCCAGGGAAAAAGCTGGCATGAGCTGTACTGGAGGGTGAAGCTAAGAGGGAGACTTGAGATGTAGAGACGAGACAGTTCAGAAATCTAGAAGGTGGAGCGGGAATGGTGGAAGCATTTTCCCTCCCTGTCTCTCTCCCTTTCTCAAAATCTTTCTCTGTTGTAATGTCATCAAAACATAATTTTAGTGAGAATAAAGTTTTCTCACTGCCCCAAGGGAGCATGAGAATATGCAGACAGGAGTAGTGTACAGGTGTAACCCTGTGTTTCATTCTTTTGCTTTCCAATCTGGAAATCCCTCCTAGAAGATATTTCCCTTGGCTAGTTATCTCTTTAATGTAGTTAGGGAACATGATTTGGAGGTCAACAACTTGAGTTAATTAGCAAACTGCTAGTTCACAACATAACTCTTTAAGAAGACTTGCTTATTTATTTTTCCACTTTATGAGACATTTATAAGAAAGTTGCTGAGCATGAGACACAGTTTCAGGTAGAGCAAGCCCTTCTTCAGCTGTCTTCTGTGACCCTGGTGTGTTCAGGAATTTGAGCTGAGTCCAGAAGGGCATTGCACTGTCACGGTTTGGACAAGACACTGAGTTTTAAAAGACTCTTCCTGTGGAACATAAGAGAATTTGTTAACACATATGTAAAATTACATTTGCTCAATCCTGGTGTATCTAAGCTAAGGCAGGTTTTGCCATACTAGATTCTGACTTCTGTAGTCATTCCCATTCTTAGTGTCATAACTAGTCCTTTTCAACATGCTTCTACCTTTTTTTTTTTTTTTTTTTTTTTTTTCTCCTTCCATTCTTTCATTCAAATGCAGGCTGAGGCAGAGGTGGCCTCCCTGAACCGCAGGATCCAGCTGGTTGAAGAGGAGCTGGACCGGGCACAGGAGCGCCTGGCCACTGCCCTGCAAAAGCTGGAAGAAGCTGAGAAAGCTGCGGATGAGAGTGAGAGGTCTGTAGGGGAGCTTGAAAGAGTGAGGTGTCTTTTATTCCTGGTTCTGGGTTTGAATCTGTGGTCTTGTGAAAGCTAGGAAACCTTTCTAGCACTGAGCTACACCCTAACCTCTTTTTATTTATTTATTTATTTATTTATTTATTTATTTTTCGTTTTTATTGGTACCAGGGATCGAACTCACGACTGCCTGCTTGCAAGGCAGGCGCTTATGCCGCTGAGCTAAATCCCCAGCCCCGCCTCTTATTTTTTGAGATACAATCTTGCTAAGTTGCACAGGTTGACCTCAAATTTTCCATCCTCCTGCCTCAGCATCCCTAGTAGCTGGGATTACAGGCATGTGGGCACGTGGACTTCAAAAGAAGTTCAGGCTACTGTATACTCTTTTCATAGTGGTCCACGCTCACCCAGCAGAGTCTATTTCTTTTCCTTTTAGTTGGCCTGAACTTGCTCTACAAGCATGTTTCATTTCTTTTCATGTCTTTAATAAAGGTAAAACTTGATACTTTAAAAAAAAAAAGTTCGTGAACTGAGGACGCAGCTCTGTGATAGAGTGCTTGCTTAGCAAGGTTCTGAGTTTAATCCCCAGTACTATTTTAAAAAAAGGTTCTGACCAAGATTTGCCTTCCCTCCCTGTTCCCTCTCTATTTTGTTGCTGCTTGTTGCTAGGGATTGGACCAGGACGTCAGACATACTATACAAGCACATATTCTGCCACTGGGTTGTACTCCCAGCCCCAGATCTGTTTTTTAAAATAATGACCTCTATATTACAGGATCTTTTCCTTCTGTTTGCCTATTCTCTCTCCTCAGAGAAAGAGATTGAGTATGGTTACTTGAACTTTGAGACACCATTTGTCTGTAACTTTTGTTTTTTTTGTATCAAGGATTGAATTTACAACCTCATGCTTGCCAGGCAGGCGCTTAGAACACTGAGCTAAATTTAAATTCCCAGCCCTGAGATCTCATTTGTCATTGCTATTTCTCTGTAAATTGATCTGATATTCCTTATAATGCCTCGACAGTCTGGCTTCTATTTTGTGAAGCATATGCGTCCATTTGTGAGGTTAATCCCTCGAAACAGATTCTCAAAGTCAGGGCCCATTCCAAAAGTATCAGCAACACCTGGGAATGGGCTGGAAATTCAAATTCTCACTTCTACCTTAGACCCACTAAATTATAAACATTCTGACTCACTGAATCCCAAATGTCAGGGTAGGGCCCAGTGATACACCTCCTCTCAGTTCTGTGTGCTGTACTGTTAGAACCAAGGAGGTGAGGGAGGATGATATCTTGGATCCCCTGTCCCCACCATGTGCAATTAGAATAATTGCAAGAGGAGTCCAGGCACTGTTGTTTTAAAAACCCTCTGTATTTTTTTTTTGGGGGGGTGCTGGGAATCGAACTCAGGACCTTGTGCTTGCCAGGCAGCTGCTTGTGCCACTGAGCTGTATCCCCAGCTCTTTCCAGCAATTTTAATATGTGACTAGGGGTGAGAAACAAATCACAGCTTATCTTTGTGAAAATTGCTAATTAGTTTCTTATCACATGTGAGGTAAACCAAAACAGAGATCATAACATCCTTTTTGTGTTTGTGTGTGTGTCTTTTTCATTTTTATCGGTACCGGGTATTGAACTCACGACTGCCTGCTTGCAAGGCAGGTGTTTAGCCGCTGAGCTAAATCCGCAGCCCCTAATAACATCTTGAACTTGGCTTTTCACAATTAGAAATCTCCTGCCAGAGCCAGGCACAGTGGCATGTGTCTGTGATCCCAGCACTTGGAAGGTTGAGCCATGAGGATCCCACGAGTTTAAGGCCAGCCTGAACTGCATAGCAAGACCCTGTCTCAAAAAAAGCCTCACTAGAGCTCTGTTAGCACAGGGCAGTTGTGCAAATGAGTGAGATAGCTATGTGTATACTACTTGCAGAGTAGAGTCAAAATTATAGAAAGTAAGGAAAACAGCCATTTTGCATATAGCTACATAAGACATTTTTAGAAAGAATATTAAAAGATTGTATCTGATGGGCAGGACTAGAAATGGGGAGAGAGACTTAGTTTTAACTTTATACTCTTAGACAATACACTTAAATATTTATTTACTGTCTTAGTAAGCATAGGTTATTTTTAGTAGAAAAACCTTGTGAGTGAGATTGTGGAATTTCCATTTGAGTGGCAAACAGGAATGGGCTTTCAGAAGTGCAGTTTTGAGTCTATTGGAGTGAAGCTGATGACAGACTCCTCAGAGTATCTGTGCTGGGTTCATCCTGTTTCTGGCAGAGGTATGAAGGTTATTGAAAACCGGGCCCTAAAAGATGAAGAAAAGATGGAACTCCAGGAAATCCAACTTAAAGAAGCTAAACACATTGCAGAAGAGGCAGATAGGAAGTATGAAGAGGTAAGTAAGCCTCTTGTGTTTGTCCTGTCATCAGTGACGTCAGGCCTCAGCGTCATGGGGGGAATACTTTATTTGTCTGAGCTGAACCTGATCTTTTTCTATAGGTGGCTCGTAAGTTGGTGATTATTGAAGGAGATTTGGAACGCACAGAGGAACGAGCTGAACTGGCAGAGTCGTGAGTATTTTGCTTCCCAAATCTTGTCGAACTTTTCTGTCCTTTTCCTTCAGCTTTATTCACTAATATGAACAAATTAGCATTCCTTCAGCTTTGTTAAACAGGGCCTAGGGGTGGGTGTCATCCATAAGGCTTCTTCGGGGCTTTAATAATGACTTTGGCCTTTTTTCTTAACTAGGAACAGATGACTAAAGAGGCTTGCTATTTCCTCTTGGGAAAGTTTACAAATGAGGGAATATGAAACTGAAGAGATGGTGAACAGGTCTCTAGAAAGACCCTACTGGGTCCTGTTCTCCTTGAGACATGGAAGTGCCTTTACTGACTTGAGATCTGGTCAGTGTTTACCACGTTGCCAGTCTGCTGGGGAACTTTAGGGAAGAGCAGACCTTAACTGCTCCCTGACCTGGCCTTGTGTAACAAAGTGAGCGCTAATGCATACTCATTTGTGCTTCACTTCTATCCCCCTTCGCCCCAGACATGACATCCCATGACCATGATGGTGTTTTCTTACCATTTAAAAGATTTTTTTCCCCATTTTGCTGCTTGTTTCCTTGCTGTGTTCCTTTTTGACCTTTCTCCCTCCCCACAACCTGGCCTGCGCCATCCCCGTGACTGTCACTAACAGCCGTTGCCGGGAGATGGATGAGCAGATCAGACTGATGGACCAGAACCTGAAGTGTCTGAGTGCTGCTGAAGAAAAGGTACTAACCCTAACCCACAGGGAGGTTACATTGTGGTCTGGTTTTGTTCAGTTTTGTCTGTTTTGCAGCTGCCTCCCCTCCACTGGTTGACTTGTTGAATGCTTTCTCATCTCTTCATGGAATGCTCCATTCTTTTCCACTACTTGCTCTTTCATGTCTTCTTCCTAGTTGCTTCCTTTCCTTTCCTCAGGGTCTCTCCCTCTTCCCCTGGGTGGTTTGGGCTTGTTTGGGTTGAGCGTTCCTTCTCTCCTCCGCCCCAGGTAGCAGTCAGGACTTAACTCTGGGGAGCGGTTTCCTCTCAAGTGCTCTTTCTTTATTAGCATCCAGACATTCTAAGCCCAGATCTAGCTCATGACATATTCCCTGGTAGAGGGAGGAGGGTTGATGCTTGCTCAGATTACCTAGGGCCTTCTCTTCCCCAATGTGCCTTCTAGCTCTCTACATACAGGTTCAATTCACCTCTGTGTGTCTCTCTCCCTTTTTTTATTCTCTTCCTCTTCCCCTTTCCTCTCCTGCGGTATTTAAAATGTTCACAGTAAGTGTTCTGAGCTGGAGGAGGAGCTGAAGAATGTCACCAACAACCTCAAGTCTCTTGAGGCTCAGGCGGAGAAGGTAGGGGCTGGTTTGTGAAGGTGACAGGCTTGGGCCTGGGCCAAGCCCTGCCCTTGGTAAATGACTGGAGACACTCATTCCCTGTAGTCCAGTGAGAATGTACTCTGATTGCCTTTGTTAAAATAGCTTTGTGGTCTCAAGTGCCTGGAGTCATGCTCTTTGGGCCTAAAGTGCCGTGCTAAAAGGCAATTACCAGGGTCCCTAATAGACCATCTAGCAAACAGAAGGGGCCAACAGATCTGTTTCTCTGAGATCTAATGAGCAGTCAGAACGAATGGTTTCTCTATGGCATCACGGGAGAGTGTTTAAGTGCTGTGAATGTGGGGTGTCACTGTCCCTGCTCACTAAGCTGAGGAGGGGAAAAATGCCTCCTTGGGCTGATGATAGTAACATCAACATTTAGTCCATTTCATCTCATTTTATTTTTTTATTTGTTTGTTTGTTTATTTACTTTTAAGAGTCGGAAAATTTATTGGAGAAAAGGAATGGCAATAGGAATTGGGGAATAGGAATAGCTCCTGAGAGACAGGAGGGGTCCTGAATAGGTTGTCCTAGGTCTATTTTAAAAGTAAAAGTTCTAGCTGGGTGTGGGTGGTGTGTTCTGTAATCCCAGCACTTGGGGGGCTGAGGCAAGAGGGTTGCTGTGAGTTCAAGGCCAGTCTGGACTACATAAGTGAGTCCAAGGCCAGCCTGCACTACATAGTGAGATGCTGTTTCAAAAAACAAAAAAAGGTTCTGAAGCTAGGTGTGGTGGCACACACCAGCAGTCCCAGCATTTGGAGGGCTGAGGCAGGAGAATTGCTGCAAGTTCAAAGCCAACCTGAACTACTATTGAGAACCTGTCTCAAAAACAACAACAAAGGGGCTGAGGATTTAGCTCATCGGCATAAGCGCCTGCCTTGCAAGCACACGTGTGGTCCTGAGTTCGATCCCTGGTACCGGTAAAAATACAGGGAAAAAAAAAATGTTCTGAGGGGGGCTGGGGATTTAGCTCAGTGGCATAAGCACCTGCCTTGCAAGCAGGCGGTCGTGAGTTGGATCCCTGGTACCGGAAAAAAGGGGGAAAAAATTATTAAAAAAAAAAAATGTTATGAGGAGTCTATCCTGAGGACATGCTGACTCTAAAGAAATAGGTGGATCCAAGGACCTATTGTGCAAATGTAGGACTTGGTGTTACTTTTGGATCACTCAGCACATGAAATCCAAGAGGATATCCAATGTAAGAATAAATGTATGGTGGGTATATAGTCTGTGGGACTATTTTCTACTCTGAAAGTTTTATTCTACTTCTCTTACAGTACTCTCAAAAAGAAGACAAATACGAGGAAGAGATAAAGATTCTTACTGATAAACTCAAGGAGGTGAGCTGAGGAAAAGGACCCAAAATACTGAGAGGCATAGAAGGCATTTCTGTGGACTTAGGCTAGCTGGCATTGGTTTTGGAGATCTAGAAGTGGGAAGGGGAGGAGAGACTCTTCATCTTCCTCATTCTGACTGATTTTGTGTTCCCCCAGGCGGAGACCCGTGCTGAGTTTGCCGAGAGATCTGTAGCCAAACTGGAAAAGACAATTGATGACTTGGAAGGTACGGAGCCTGGTAGACTGAAGTGGAGAAGTACACAGAGGTGGACCTTGCCCTGGACTGGGAGCCTTTTCCCTGTCACCAAAGGGAGTTGGGGGTGACTTGACACTTGTGTTGTGCCATAGCCAGGCGAAGTGGATGCAATCCTTGAGTTGGATTTTAATAGATTTTCTAGTAGTAGTTCTAGAATTTGCCTTTTCTCTTTGAGGAGAGTGGTAATGACTGGCTGCTTACATCCAGTTTAGTCCTAAGTCTTTCGTTTGTTGAAATAGAAGCCTTGATTTCAGAAGGCAACAGAGGTGCCTGTTGTCACCCCATGGCTACTTTCAGTAGTCCTGCTCACTCTTCTCCATAGAGGGGCTGTGGCTTACCATGGCCTAGTGCTAACCAGTAGCAGGTACTCTGGGCATCCTTCCTGTCCCTGCAGTGTGGCACCTGCTTCTGCTTTGATGAGGAAAAACATCTTTGCTTTGGGAGCTCTGACATGTGCTCCCTTCATGTACACTTGATAGCAGGACGTTCCTTGACAGATTTTAGAGAGGCAACCTATAGCACAAAGGGGCTACCAGTAGTGGTCACACACACGGAAGGGTCCTATGGGTGTGCACTTACTCTTTTCTCTATCGTTAAATTGTTACCACTGGTAGGAACTGGGTGAGAGTGGTATCCATGTATGTGCCTCTGGTAACAGGACTATGCCTAGTTTCTCAACTCTTGCTGCAATTAATTAGAGGCATCACAAATTACACTTGGTCCTAGGGTACATTGATCTGAACGTGGCCAGTCATGGCTGCTGGAATAGACATTTTCTGGTGTTTTAGACACATGGTCACACATTTCCTCATTTCTAATGATTCCCTCTCTTCATCTGCTTCTGATACCTTTCACTCTGACCCCCCTTCCTCCTTCTTCCCTGTGGTTCCTGTGCCTGCCCAGATGAGCTCTATGCCCAGAAACTGAAGTACAAGGCCATTAGCGAGGAGCTGGACCACGCCCTCAATGACATGACCTCTATGTAACTATCTGACAGCAGTGGGGCTGGGCTCTTGGCTTGTGGGTGGGTGGGGCTACAGGCTATGCATAGCGTGCTTTGGTTTTGTCCTTTGGAAACTAGAATTTTTACACTTATTTTTAAAACATTGGTGCTGGTTACTTGTTTGGCAAAAGCTGATGAGGCATTTAATTTTGGATGAGTAGTAGATCCCTGATCTACATAAAATTTTTATACTTTGCATTTTTAGTCTTTACATAGTGACTGATGTAATTTGTTTCTCAAGAAGAGACACAGATAAAGATAGAATCCATACAACTTGGGCCCTAACATATCATAAAAAATTTAGGCCTCCTGGCTGTATATGATTTGTACTGTTCAGAGGAAACACCCAAGATGAGAATAAAGGCTGTGTCCCAGAAGCAAGCCAAATTGTAAACAGCACCAAGAAAAAGTTGTTGGAGACTTCATCTGTTTGCTGTGGATCTCACTGATCCTTGATGCTAATCTACCTCTTCTTCCAACTAACCCTAAAAAGAAGCCAAATGTTGCAGGCTACAGTGTCTGGCTCTCTTTTTTTTTATCATTCCTGCTACCACCTCTTTTTCCTCTTCCTTTGTCCCAGATTGCTGTCCAGATTGATGCTGGTCCTTCTCACCTAGAATATCCTTACTTTTTCATACAGATAACTATCACCGCTTCTGCTCTGTTCTGGATCTGCCCTTTTCCTCGGGGAACCCAACGCCCCACTTGCTCTGGATTCCATTTGGGTCAGCCTGGCTGGTCTCCAAGGCATTAGGACGAGGGGGGTCATAAAGCAACTTATGTGTTCTTTTCTACCCCCATCCCACATTAAAATGTTAAGCTGCTGGAAGCCTTATGCCATTCCTGCATTTGTATCATTGACAAAGTTGTTGCTGTCCCTAAGAAGGACCCTTGGGCGTGTGATATGGGGAACAACTATACTAGGCACCCCTTCCTCGGATTTATGTATAATCAAAGCCACTTTGCGTGTGTCTGTTTTTTTCTTGACATTTAAACTTGGCTGGGGCTTGGACAGGGGGCATATAGCTTGGTGTTAGAACAACTGTTTACATTGTTCAAGGCCCTGGGTTCAGTCCCAAGTATCTCCAAAAAAATTTTTTGTTAAGCTTGGCTCATTGGAGTCTCAGAGTGGTAGACTAGTAGAGTCCTCTGGAGTAGGGATTCTAGTATTCTCCCTTTAGGTCCTCTTCCTTTGATACAGTCGGGTTGAGAGACCACTGACGTGACTCAATACCTGTTTACCCTTTACCAGTTATTCAGATAATGCATTCTGAAAACACTGAGTGGACCCAAATCCATTACTATTAAAATTGACTAATTGTATCATTCCATGTCACAGAAAAACATAATGGGTGGAATTTTTAGCAGTTTTGTATTTTCTTCTTTAAACATTTTTTTACAAATTTGGGGCCTTCCATCATTTGCCTGCTAGCATGTGCTAGTGGGACACAAGACAAGGAGTGAATTACTGGAAAAACTAAATCAATATTGCGTATTTCAAATAATTTGCATATGGGGGTATGATTTATGATATACAGAAATTTCTACTGGTAAAATTGCTTCTGGTTCATATTTTGAAATTAAATAACAGTATTCTGGAAACTTGTATTCCAAACTGGTCCCGTGGTGCTGCACACCTATAATCCTAGCATTCTGGGAAGCTCAGGCAGGGAGTCTGTAAGTTTGAGCCCCGCCTGGCAATTTAGCAACTTCATGAAAAACTCTGTCCCAAATAATAGAAAAGGGCTGGAGGTATAGGTAGGTGCAAAGGCCCTGAATCCAATGCCTAGTACCATGAAAAGGAATAAAGAAACTCCTATTTCAGTTTACATGGTGAAGATCTTTCTGGATAGCATAGCTGCCAGTTATACTAATACAAGTATTCTTGTTTTTCCTTTATGAAGTAGATATAGCCAAATAGAAGTTTTCCCTAATCTAAAACTTTAAATCTTATATCAAATTTTTTTTTTTTTTTTATTTAAGAGGAAAAAGAGAAAAACACAAAACAGAACAAAGCAGTGTAAGGTTACACATAATACATAACTACAAAAAAAAAACATAACAGTAAGAAATCACCTGTTAATAGATTACATAATATCATCTTGGAAATAGTTGCTCAAATAATCTTATATCAAATTTGACATTATTCTACCAATATTATTTCTTCCATCCACATAGTCTTTGCATAGGTACAGATTAATTTTATTTATCTGATATATACTATATTAGTATTTTCTAAATGTAGTGTTAACATGGGAACAAAAATAAAGAGGGAGGCTCCATCCTTTCAGGTTGCTCAGAGTCTAGTAAGAAAACATGTATGGAGCTAAACATCTCGTGTGATGAGTGCCACAAATAATGTACCATGTAGTAGTTCAGGAGGAAAAGAATCCCTCCTGGATTAAGGAGGGATTAATTATCATTATGAATGATTAAGACTCATGGAAGAAGACACTAAGTGAATAATAAACATGTTAGGACTTGGCCTCCTTTCCAGCTAAGGGAAGATGAGGCAGTAGAATTCAAATTCAAGGCTAGCCTGGGCAACTTAGTGAGGTCTGTCACAAAATAAAATAACTAGAGGATATAGTACAGTGGGAAAACACTTGGTTGGAATGTGTGACTTCCTTGATACTAGATTCAGTCAATACTGCCAGAAAACAAGAAAACAAATCAACTTGCCTCCTTTTCTTTGGGTTTCAGAAGATTGGTTTTGTTTTGACTTGGTTTTCGAAACAGGGTCTCACCATACAATCCAGTCTATCCTCAAACTCACAAAGTCAGGCTTTTGAACTTGTACAGTCCTTCTGCCTCAGTTTCTTTAGTGTTGGGATTATAGACGGGTGCCACCATACCCAGCAAAAGATTGGATTTTTGATGAACAGAATTGAGTTGACAGTAGATACTAGCATTCTGTTAAAGAGAAACTAACAAAGCCATAGATGGGAATAGGAAGGACACAATGGCTATAAAGACAGATTTGGAGGAGGGCACAGGATATATACTAAAATCAGGCTGATTGGCTTTAATTTGATTCTGTAAGTGACATTGATGCTGTTGAAAATTTGGAAACTGACATGTGTTATGTAAATGCCACATAAGTTTGAATCTGGTGGCTAAGCTAAGATTGTATTGCAATGGTGGCAAATTAGCAAAGTGATACACAAACTTTAGACTCCCAAGTTTTGGTCATTGGCGATCCATTTTTACTAGCATTTGTCATGTTTAGCTACTGCCCACAATACTATTTTCTCCAGTTTTTTTTTTTTTTTTTTTTTTTGAGAGTTTCTTGTACAGTGCAGGTTTTTCTTACTGTACATTAAAATGTATATGGCTGTTTTGTTTGTTTATTTTGGCAGTGCTGGGGATTGAGCCCAGGACCTTGCACATGTTGGGCAAATGTTCTTCCATTGAGCCACATCCTTAGCTCTTTTTTTACTTACTTATTTATTTATTGTTTTTAACGTCTCAGTGTTCTGTGGACTGTACACATAGCTTTGCATATGTAGTACTAGCAGTGTATGTCCCATTGGGAAATACTGGGTTAGTTATTGCAGTTTCCCACAAGACAGTAATCAAGGTCTGAACCAGAACAGTGTCAGTAGGAAACTACCACTGAAGATAGGCATTTTAAAGTGCTGGGCCCCTATGTGTGAGGAGGAAAAGTCAAGGTGACTGGTTGAAAATGGCTTCAGCTGGGCATGGTAACGTAGTGGATTACGCCTATAATCCCAGCCTTTGGGAGGCTGAGGTGGGAGGATGGTTGCGAGTTCCAGACCAGCCTGGGCTACAAAAAGTGAGCTCAAGGCCAGCCTAAACTGCATAGTAAGACCCCGTCTCAAAAAAAGACAAAAAAAAAAAAAAAAAAAAAAAAAAAGGAAAGAAAGAAAGAAAATGGCCTCAAGATGTAGGATAATCACATGGTCCTATTTTAGAGAGCTGAGAAGAGAGAGAAACTGCCTGACAACAGTGGCAGGTATCTAGGTGAAAATAAGATCTTAAAGCTTGAAGAGGAGAGGTTGACATAAGAGATGTGGGAATCTAAAAGGGTTGCAGATAGTTTAAGTTGAAGAAGCACACAGCCTTAAAGAGTTACATGTAGAAATAAGAGGAAAGTCCTCTGTGGGAGAGGAAGCCATGTGTAACTGGCTGGAGGGATATGAGGAAGATGGGTAGTTCTGGTCCATGGTAAAGGTTAGGACTGGATTAATTCTAGTGGTTCTCAGCTTCAGCAGAAGTCAGGAAGGAAGAAAACTGAAGGGGGACATTCAGATTGTCTTAATAGTTTGAGGTACACTTTGAGCATTAAGGTAAAGAGGCAGCCCTATTCAAAGGAGAGAGAGAAATGGATTGGAAAGAAAATAAAGGTATTAAAGATAGGCTATTTTGTTATTTTTTTGTTCATTTCAATCAGCCACATGTGACCTATAGCTAGTATATTGGACAGTGCAGTTCTAGATACTTAGTATTTTGAGAAGTTGGTTTTGTGCAAAGAAAGGCTTTTTTGAAAGAAAGAAAATAGCAAAAGATTGGGGGAAAGGTAGCCGTCACATTTGTGATAGCTCCTGTTTATACCATGGGCCAGACTAGTGCAGGCACAGAGACCTCCAAGCCAGTGCAGCCAGGAACATGAAATGCATGCAGGGGCAAATGCTCCTTCATCTCATGCTCTGTACCTCACAGGAGCCATCCTGTGTTATCCAGCCTCACTGGGGGATGGTGCCCTATGTTGGAACAAAGCACTCAGCCCTGAACTTCTCCCTTCCACAGTTCACAGGTTGCTGAGCAGGAACTCATTGTTCCTTTTCTTGTTAAGCGCTATGGGGGTGGGGAACAGTGGCTGGACCCAGGTTACCTGAGGAACGGAGCCGACCCATTGTGTTGGGCAGCCTTAGTGTAACCCACCTCAGTTTTTTCTGCTAACCTTTTAGTCCAATTGCTGCTCTGTGGGATTGTTCTGTAAATTAGTTGGGCATGACTGGAAACATCAGACCTAATGAGTTCTCCACTTTGCCTTGTTCTGCCCTGTTTTGTTGTTATCAGAAAACTAAGAACTTTAATGAGTTAGTATTTCATCCTTAGTTTTTAGTCATTAGATACAGCAGAGTTAGAAGCTAAATTCAAATTCTCAGAAAACAACCACATTGGTCTTTGTGATCTTGTACAATTTTTAGGTAAGTCTGCATTCCAATATTTATTTAGTCAAGCAGTCAAATGCTCCTATTCCTCTCCTGTCTTTTTACTTCTTTTAAGTGGAATAAAACTCTCGTAGACCATGCAGTTTTGAGGGATAAGATCCTGATAATGCCCTTCCTTTCAAAAATAGGAGTAGTGTGGCAAAGGATTTAGTTCAATGGCATAAGCTCCTGCCTGGCTAAGCGATAGGTCATGAGTTTGATCTCTGGTACCAAAATAAATAAATAAAGTTCACATGGTAGTATTTAAAAAAAATAAAGGAATAGTAATCACACAGACAGACTTAGATATAGATGAAATGTACATAGAATAAAACATCAAGATTTGAGAGATGAGAGTTCCAAGATGGACTGCATGTTCTTTGTTAAGAATGCCCCAGGAGGGGCTAGGAATATAGCTTAGTGAGCACCTGCACCTGCTTGGCAAGTACAAGGTCCTGAGTTTGATTCACACACACACACACACACACACACACACACACACACACCAAAAAAAGAAAGAAAGAATGCCTCAGGAATAAGAGAGGCCCAGCCCCAGGCTTTTTGGAACTTAGACTTCAGTGAGTCTCTCAATGGTGACTTTTGATCATTTAGAGTAGGACAAAGTTCTTGGTCTTACAGAACAATCCTGCATATTGCTATTCCCTGGGTAATAAGTATCTATGGAGCTTTTAATCCTCAAAACCTATGTATCTAGCTGGGCACATTGGGACAGGCCTGTAATCCCAACAGCTCAGGAGGCTGAGTCAGGACTGCAAGCTTGAGGCCAGCCTAGGCAACAAGGCAAGACTGTCTCAGAATTTTTTTTTTTTTTTTGTCTTTGTTTTTCGTTTTTATCAGTACCAAGGATCAAAGTCACGACTGCCTGCTTGCAAGGCAGGCACTTATGCCACTAAGCTAAATCCCCAGGCCCCTGTCTCAGAATTTTTAAGAGGGCTGGTAGCTCTGTGATAAAGTGTTAACCTAGTATGCGGGAGGCACTGAGTACCCAACACTGAAAAGGGGGTGGGGCACTGATTTTCCAGGTGGTGTCCACCTATAGTCCCAGCTACTAGGCAGAGGTAGAAGAATCACTTGGGCTAAAGAGGTGGGACCGGCCTGGGCCACATAATGTGATCCTGGCTCTTTTCAAAACAAATCTCAGCACTAGAGAGGGTAACGCAGAGGAAGGTAACTTGTAGGCCGGCTTACGTTACACAGCGAGACCTCATCTCAAAACTTAAAAACCAAACAAAGCCAGTGGTTTAATGGGAAGTATAGTTTCAAAAGTTGGTCCCAAAGCAAGGAATGTAGCTCACTGGTTGAATGCCTAAAAAAGCTTGTCCTGATTTCTGCTCTTAAATACAGCTGAGTCAGGTGTGAGGGTGCCCACCTGTAATCCCAGGGATTGGAGGCTAAGGTCAGAGCATCACTACAAGTTCAAGGCCAGCCTAGGCTACATAGCAAGACCTTGTCTTAAAAAATACAGCTATTATATTTTATCATTTACCTCAGCAGCACAAGCACCTACCTGCCTGGCAAGCATGAGGTTGTAAGTTTGATCACTGGTACAAAAAAAAGATACATTTGATCATTCTTTCACAGGTTCTGTATACACAGCCTTTCTGGGTTTGTTTGGTTGGTTGTTTTGCAGTACTGGGGAACTGGGGATTGAACCCCGGGTCTTTTCAAGGAACTGTATCACAGGGTATTAAATTTCTTCTTTTGAGGCAGGATCTGGTCAAGTTGCCTAGGGTGTGCTCACATTTGTGATCTTCCTGCTCCCAGAGTGCTGGGGTTACAGGTTACTTCCATACCTTGCTATGCTTTCTGTTTTGATTTTATGCATAAAGCAAGAAGTATTGTTGGAGCCTCACTGGCTCTCAGCTTTGAGGTGACACTAGGGGAGACTTCAGCTTAGATGCTAAGATGGCTGCCCAGTGCCCACAGCTGTAGCTGGTTTTTGAAGAAGGAAAAAAAATGTCTTTTTTTTTTTTTTTTTTTTTTTGAGATAGCATCTCACTGTGCAGCTCAGGCTGGCCTCAAACTTGCAGTGATCCCCCTCCTGCCTTAGCCTTCCAAGTACTGGGATTACAGGTGTGCCACCACACCTGACTAGTAATTTTTTCCTTCTTTTTTTTTTTTTTTTTTTTTTTTTTTGTACTTGGAATCAAACTCAGGACCTGGCACCTACCAGGCAGTCACATTTACCTCTGAACTATGTCACCAGCCCCGAAAAGTGTGTTTTTTGTGTTAAGTTTATGAGACCATTTTGAAACAAGCTATAAAACATAGAAATTTATTTCTTAACTTCAGACACTGATACTAGGAGTAGATTCAAGAATGAGTTTGGCTTTCCTATCCCTAAACTTCTGTTAGCCCTTTGCTGTTAAGATGGGTCTGAATTCCTTGGGCCTCACTTCTCCCTTACAATGTACTCCAGCATAAATCCGAGGTAAAGCCAATGGACTTGAGAATAAAACTGCTTATATTAGGAATGTTTTGGGATATAAGAAAAAGCTAAACAATAGTTTAAATAAACATGGGACTTATTTGTATACTTGATAGGTCTAGCCATGTTTTCTTTGATTCTCTAAGCCTTTTCTTGTTGAAATATGCAGCTCTATTACAACCATGTTTCAGGCAAGAAGGAAAACTAATATTTTCCACCAATTTCCTGTACACTATCCCCCCTCATTAGCCAGATTGGATCATATGATCTCTCTTACCTGCAAAGGAGGTTGGAGAATCCAAGGAGAGTCTTGGTTGGCTTCTTCCAGCAATCAGCTTTCCTTTGGACTGGGCACACTACTGACCCTCTCACAGATTTGGGGTTCTTTGAAAGTATAGCATTTAGCTGGGCATGATGGTGCACATCTGAAATGCCAGCACTTGGAAGACTGAGGCAGGAGGATTGCTGCAAGTTCAAGGCCAGCCTGAACTACACAGCAAGACCATGTCTTGAAAGAGAGAGTAGCACGTGGTGAAGCTGTTTGTCCCAGTCTCCTGAGCATAATAATGCTTGTGTTGAATGCTTTTACAGAAAGATGTTCAACTTTTCTTTCTAAAACTAATTGTGAATGGATTTCTTCTAAGCCCACTGTATTCCCAGCTTTGGCCTGCTTTACATGTCTCGGTTTCTTAGCCCAGGAAGTAAACACTTGTGAAAGGAGGTGTTTTTTTCTTCCTCAAACTGTTAGTACCCTACCAACATAGCAGACTAAATTTCTTACTTTATTCCTCTGTTGGTCTTTCACCAACTGGCTCTTGCTGCCCTCTGTCTGAGCCCTTGCATCCATCCTGCCTTACAGATGCATGATATGTATACCAGCTAGTTGAAAGTCTCAGATTTACTTCTGGTACTCTACTAACTTTTCCTTTTTGTCTTTCTCCTCCTCTTTTTCCTCTCCTCCTCTTGTTTTCCCTCCTCTCCGTTCTGCTGCAGAGCGTCTCTACAGCCAACTTGAGCGAAACCGCCTGCTTTCTAATGAGCTGAAGCTAACGCTGCATGATCTGTGTGACTGATGGGCAGGGCTCACTGATGCCCAGTAAACCGAGCTTACTGCTCACACCACTGACCTGGACCCCAGCAAAAAGCTGATTGTCTTTCTCAAAGTTACTATTTTGCCCTAAATAAGTTGCTTTTTACTTGGGGCATTTAGAATACTGTTGATTTCCTAGCAGCACTGTATAGTTGAAATAAATACTGCATTTCTAGCCCTTCACCAGTGATTATGGGTGACAAAGAAAGGGGCCTGAGTGGTTGTAGTGAGAAAGCTTGGGACAATTTTCTGTTTCCCACCCTTTCACTTGTGCACTGACTACAGGATATGTTCCTTGCATGGATTTTTTTTTTTTAAACAATAAAAAGACTGACTTGATAATATGTTGTAACTGCTTTATCTTGAGGCCCAGGGATGGGCCCTTCTGACTGGGTGGAGAAAAGGAGGGAAAGAAGGGTGTGGGGTTTGAATATGGGTCTGTGTTGCCTACAGCTTCTCTGAGTTGAAGATTTAAGTATTTTTCTTCCCTAGAGCAGCCAATGGTTTGCTTCCTAAGCAGCACAGATGTTTCTTATGTTCAGCCCCTGGTTTCTTCCTAATATTTTCCCTCTTCTTGATTTTATATTTGATTGCAAGTAACTGTTACAGGCTTGATCTGGTTAATGCCTCTGAAAACAGTCTCAATGTTTTGTTTATATTTTTGATAGTGTTCTTGGTTTTGTTTTTAGAGATTTCTTTGGCTTAGTGATGAGGACTTGTTTACTTATCCCACTGATTATTTTTCCTTCTACTTTTTGGAGAAAGCTTATAGTAAGTGCATGAGCTCTTCCTGTACTCTTTGCAAATTGAGATTCTACCCATAGAAATGTGCCTGTCCTTATTCTCCAGTGAGCCATTTCAAGTAGGTCCGGTCCTGGGACCAAAGCCTAGAATGAATGGCTAATGCTTCAGGCTTGCTTTTTTAGTGACTAAAAGCCAGAAGCCTTTCTGGCTGGGTGTGCAAGGGAGAGGAAATGGTCAATAAGGTCCTCAGCTCCCTTCCCCAGGAAGTACAGTAGCTGCAGTTTCAGTAGTCAAGTCAGAGTCCCTGCAGAACCTCAGTGATGCAATAGCTAATTTCTGTGGTTGAGAAAGCAGCTGCTTTGTTAGTTCACAGTTCCCCTGCAACAGAAGCAAGTTTCAGAGAGTGGGAAGTCCTTGAAATTTACTTTTTATAACTTCTCTCCTTTATCCCCATTAGATAAGCTGAAATGCACCAAAGAGGAGCACCTCTGTACGCAAAGGATGCTGGACCAGACACTGCTCGACCTGAACGAGATGTAGAGCTCCCCAGTCCCGCCCTGCTGCTGCTCTTCCCTTTGACTCTGACACCGCCCAAGGCCAGCCTGCCTGAAGCTGACCTCAAAACTGAGGGCTGATCTTTAACTGGAAGGCTGCTTTCTCCTTTCTATGTCCTCTTACCCCCCTGCACCCCATACCCCTGCCTTGTCTTTTTCATCAAACTGTCTCCGCCTCTTCCCAGAGATCCCAGCTGGGCTAGAGACTGAGCACCTTTGGGAACAACATTTAAGGGAATGTGAGCACACTGCAAAGTGTCTTTAAAAGCATGTCATGATGTACACATTTGTTTTTTTGTTTTTTGGTACTGGGAATCAAACTCAGGACCTTGTGCTTGCCAGGCAGGCGCTTACGCCACTGAGCTATATCCCTGGCCAATGTACACATTTGTAATAACATTTTTTGTTGTAGCAGCCATTTGTAAAACATTCCAAATATTTCTGCAGCTCCAAAGCAGCAGTCTAATTGCATTCTCACTTTGGAAGATAACTTTTCAGGCTAATGCACAGTGCTCTCTCCATTGAGGAGGAAAAGAAGTATGGGCATGTCTTACTGAGAGCCAAACAGAGCCCCAGGAAAGACTCCATTGTGGGAAACCTTACTTCTCTGTACCAAGTACCAGCCAATCCAGAAAGGTGATTCCAGGAGCTGGCCAAAGCAAAAGCTGTGCTGCTCAGGTTTTGCGTTTAAAGGTATCTCTGGACAACTTCATTTTTTATTTTTTTACTTTTTTAAAATCAGAAGTAAGCAAAATAAAATGGTGAGACTTCCAAGACTTTTTTTTTTGTTTTTGTTTTGTTTTTTGTGATACTGGGGATCGAACCAAGGGAGGGTCTCATGCATGTTAGGCAAGACCTCTTCCACTGAACCACATCCCCAGCTCTGAGACCAAATTTTTGTCCCATTTCTACCCCTTTCCGAGCTGCTTACTGAATGGATCATGTGTCCCTCTCTTAATGCTGAGGTGACCACTTAATTGTTCTCTTGACTGTTTGAAAGAAAAGGAGTATGTTTTTGCCACTGATTCAGCCATATGAAATTCATCTCACCCTTTTCTGGGTCTGAAGCTGCTGTCTCTAAAAGTGCCATCTCATTGTGCTTTTTATCAGTCAGTGCTGGAGAAACCTTGAATAGCTTATATACAAAACTTAAAATTTTATATTATTTTGAAATTTTGCTTCTTTAGGATTGGAGTACATGGCTATCCCATCTGGCTGTGAAGAGTTCCCTACAGTCTGGGCTGGCAGTGTGCTGATCTTTAGAAGTTTTTTTTCCCCACCCAATCCCCACTTTTAGTGAAGTTTCTGTGATGTTTGTTAGGTGTACATCCTGCAGCTTATTGGCTTAAAGTGTATGCTCCTTTGTTGTGGTCTCTTTGGGACCAATCAGGAGAAAGAAGAACCAGTAGTGCAACTGTTTTGATACTGAATATTGACAATTGTCTTTTTGAAATAAAGAACCAGTCCCTCTAAACCTCAGATCTATTTGACTTGTTTATATTAAATCACATTCTTTCTCTACAGGAATTATGGAAGCTTGAGATCTTTGTGGGTGGCAACAGGTTTAATGTATAGCTAGCTTACACTTTGGAAGTGGCCCAAAACTAGGTTCCAAACCCTGTTCTTAAAAAAAAAAAAAAAAAAAGAACAAAAACCAAAACCCAGTTCTTTTATTCCTACTTGTATGTCCTGATTGGAGATCATTAGTACCATCACCTGTAAAATAGAGATAACATGTACAGGTTGCATAATGAATACTAGCATCTTCAGGCTAACCACATTTTTCTTTTTTGAGGGGATTTTGCAATGTAGTCTAGGCTGGCCTTGAACTTGCAATGACCTGTTGCCTCAGCCTCCCACGTGCTGGGATTACAGGTGTGCCGCCACCAGGCCTGACCACGTTTTTCTTTGTAACTGTGAATTCTTTGTTTTTTTCTTTTTCATTTTGAAACAGGATTTCACTATGCAGTGCAGGCTGGCCTTGAACTAATTTTGTAGCCCATGCTGGCCTTAAACTTGCAGTGATCCTCATGCCTCAACCTCCTGAGGGCTGTAAATTCTTTTCTAACTATGGATTTATGTTCTTAAACAGTTATAACATGTTGATTACATATTTCTACAAATACGTTGTTTTGGTAGACTGTTCTGAGCCTTTCATTTAATAGTCTATTGGGAGAAAAATTCTATTGGATATTTGGAGAAAAATAATACAAGTGTTTTCAGAGCATTTGCTTAGAAGCGGGCCATACTGTGTGGATGGCTTTCAAAGCTGCCTTTGAGATGCTGGAGTCTGGTGTTTCCTATAGTCTGGCTCTGGAGAAGGCCACCGGTCTGATTTCCTAGTGAAAGTTACTGAGGTCTCTTGACAAAGTTAAATTGTTTAGACTCAGGCCTGGGAGTGTTCCCTTCATAGGTACAGACCAACGCTGACTGGAAATTACTGCTGCCCCCTTCAAAAAAAGATGTGTTGTCTTTTTAATTCAAAAGCTACACAGTACACAATGACTTGAAGCTGGGAGACTTTTGGGGGATTTCGGCCCCCCCCATTTATTTAAATAATAGTATTGTTACACCTTACGTTTAGGAAAATAGCCCTCTAAATGAATAAGTAGGTTCCTAAAATTTCTGTGATGGAACTTGCTAGAGTAGTTTATGAAAAAATTCCCACAATTCAGGGCGAGCAAGGCCCCGCCTCCTGCTGATATTGTGCCTGCGGATTGGTCCGTTTTGGTGCTGGAGGTGTGGCTGTGGTTGAGCACGAACAGCAGTCGCCATGGCCAGCTGTGAGGCACTGTGGCTTCAAAGGTTGAGGCTACGGTTCTGCTTACCTGTACTGGGTCTTTTGTTACTTACGCCGTTTTTGCTGGGAACCCAGGCCAACAAACTTAACGTGCCCCAGGTGTTGCTACCCTTCGGCCGGGAGCCGGGTCGTGTGCCCTTCCTGCTCGAGGCCCAGCGGGGCTGCTACGTTTGGTGAGGGGCGGGACTTTCCAGTTAAGGTGGGGGTGACCGCTCAGGACCCCCTCCCCGCAGGAATGCTGTGTGGGCGCTGGGCGTCCTACTGGGAGAAGTTATGCGTTGGACTGGAGGGCTAACACTTTTCCTTCAGCTGTGGCATACCCTGTTTAGCTGGGATGTCACCAGGTTTTGTGGAGTCCTGACAAGAGATGCTTCTTACCAAGAGTGTAGTGGTAGTCTTAAAAGCTATTAGGGCAGAGGGGAGCCCTTTGTGGAGGTCACCAGTATGACTCCCCAACGTGAGGAATTTACAGTGTGAACAACTAGGATGAGAAAATTCCCAAGATCTGAGGATATTTCCTTAAAAACAGGGAGGTTCCCACTAAGGCAAGCTATTCAAGTAAGAAGGGCCTAACACCACAGCTAATTAATACTTAACTAGCACTTTGCATGTATTAACTCAGTTACTTTTTACAGTCCTGTGAAGTAAGTACTATTATTCTCTTAATTTATGAGAAAATTTGAGGCTCAGAGATCATGAAGTATAAGCATCTGGAATACAAGAAGATTCACCTTTAGCCGACATGAGATTTTAATAATAAGCCCCCTTGGTACAATGGAATTCACCTATGCTGTGAAGGCAGGGGCTAGTGATCTGACTAGATGGAAAGACGTGATTTTCTGCTCTGAGGGTACCCAGTGATATTTTTATGTCATTACCTATGTTGGAACTCAAGCTAAAGGAGCTTCAAGACTCTGTCTCTCTGTGTAGGTGTGCCTCTGTGTGTGTGTGTGTGTGTGTGTGTGTGTGTGTATGGTTCTGTCTCTATTTTTGTGTCACTCAGTACTAGGGAATGAGCCTAGGGCCTTTGCACTGAACTACATTCCTAGCTCTTTTTATTATTTTTGATTTTGAGATGGGTCTCTTTTTTTTGAGATGGGTCTTTCTAAGTTACCTAGGACAGGTTCAGTTTAGCATCCTCATGCCTCAAGTTGCCATAGTGTTTGGATTAAAAGTGTACCTATAATCTTCTCTAAACTTTTTCTTAAGAAAATCAGGGGAGAGGGGCTGGGGATTTAGCTCAGTGGCTTAAGCGCCTGCCTGGCAAGCACGAAGTCATGAGTTCGATCCCCAGCACCAAAAAAACAAAAAAAATCGGCAGGGGGAGGGAGAGAGAAATGCAGCTGGGCATGGTGTCACAGCCTGTAATCCCTGCATTTGGGAGGCTGAAGTAGGAGGATCGATATGAGTTTAAGGCCAGCCTGGGCAACATAGTCAGTTCAAGGCTAGCCTAAACTACATAGCAAAATCCTGTCTCCAAAAGTTAAACAAAAAGCAAGGTTTATTCAGTATGAAAAGTATATCTTTTATGAGAAAGTATAAAAGAATTAGGCTTGTAATATGACCTAGTGTGATGTACATATTTCCTGATGATGCAAGGGCTTTTCCTAGGCAGTGACTCCTTCCACCTATCCAAAATTACTAATGAAGGCCTGGAGTGTTTGAGTTGGACTCACACCTCTTAATTTAAGGAACTTTTCCACCTTAGAGCAGCCTAGTTTCTAGGATTAGAGAAAATTATTCTCCGAGTATGAAAAAGTCCTGTCTCATTGGGAACACAATCCAAATCTCTATTTTTACATGTAACTATATCTTAAATCAAGGGAAGACTGTAACACTTCTGAGATTTTGCATGAGATGATCAAAGGTCCTGATCAGTCTCCCATTTCAATAGTGTTTTTAAACAGTGATCTGACTCTAAAGTGTGTCTCTTAAGTATATCTTATAGATAATATGTGACATGGAAAAAACATAGAAATATCTTTCATCAAGGTTAACTGTAACCCATGTTTTCATACTCTCAAGTGTTTTGTTCTGGCAGGCATTCCACCCATGATGATGTAGTTACTGTTGAACCTTTATATGAAAATGGCACCTTATGTTCTCAAAGAGCTGTACTCATTGCTGAATCTACCCAGCCAATACGTCTCAGCAGTGTTATTCTTGCTCGAGAAATAGGTATGTTAAAAGCAAAATATGTAACATTTCCAGATAGAATAATCTAATGTCTTGTATAATAATTAACATAAAAGCTATTGGTTTGAAATGATAAGAGGTAGAAAAAGTAGATTCCTGGATTCTTGCATATAAGTCCTAGTTATTATTTGAAGTTATTTTATATCTAGCAACAGGGAAACTAGTTGTTTGAATTAAAGCAAAAAAGGAATCATTCACCTGGACCTCATTTAGGTGGTAAAGTTTGAGATTGATGGGGTGAAAGGAAGATAATATAAAGACTAGGACTTCTCAAAGAATGATCTGTGAATATCAATCATGAAGACCCCTTGTATCACATGAGACTTGCTAAAAATGTAGCTTTTAAACTCCAGCTCTAATATATATATCAAAATTTCTGAAGTAGGCACCAGGTTCTACATTAACAAGCTCTCTGTGATTGCTTTTTCTTCCACTTCCAGCTCAGCATTTTTCATGGAGGTACGTGGTACTGGTGATTTAGTGCAGTAAGCACTAAGCCACATCCCCAGCCCCTTTTTATTTTGAGACAGGGTCTTGCCAAGTTTCCTAGTTAAACTTTTTTGTTTGTTTGTTTGTTTGTTTGTTTTGTTTTGACCTTTTGATCCTCTTGCCTCAGATTCCTGAGTACTTGGGATTACAGGCATGTACCATCATAGCTGGCTAATTCTTTTTGTTTCAGAATTTCTGTATTTATTTTCATTCTGGGGATTGAAGCCAGAGCCTTGGACATATATACTAAGCACTGCTATATATATTCAACCCCTGGGCTGGGCATGGTGGCATATAGCACTCAGGAGGCTGAGGTGAGAGATCATTGGGAGTTTGAGATCAGCCTGTGCTACACAGTGAATTCAAGGCCAATCTAAACTACTAGTGAAACCCCCTCTCAAAAAGCAAAAAGCAAAATATATATTCTATTCCTGAGCTATACCTTCAGTCCCCAGGAATAAATAGTAGATATCTTTCTCTTTCCCTTTTTTTGCATTTAAAAAATTCTATTGGTACATTATAGATATACATAATGATCATATTCATCATAGGGAATTTGTACCTGTACATAACATATCTTGCTGCTTTCTTTCCCCATTTCCCTAGTGTCCCTTCAACCCTTTCTTCTCTCCTTATTTATAAAAGCTTTGAATCCATTTTTCCTTTTTTTTTTGATACTGGGGATTGAACTCACGACCTTGTACTTACCAAGCAAGCACTTGAACCACTGAGCTAAATCCCCAGCCCTTCCATTTTTCCTTCTATTCTCATTTTTTTCTTGTCCCTTTTCTCCTTTCCCCTTCCTACTTTCCTTGTTCCCTTTCTCATTTGAACATTTTCTTCCTAATTTACAATATCTATTATACATTTTGGTCCTTATTTACACTTTTGGTTTCTCACACCAGAAAAACAATGATATTTACAGATGTGTGTCTGATTTATTTCACTTAAGAGTATAGTCTTAAGGTATATCCATTTACCTAGAAATGTTTCAAGCTTATCCTTCTTTGTGATGGAGTACTACTCCACTGTATTAAAAAAAAAAGGAAAACTTCTTTATCCATCATTGATTAATGAGCATTTGGAATATTCCAAGATTTAGCTATTACAAATTGTGCTGCTATAAACATGGGTGTGTATATATCATTGTGATATGACGCTTTAATTTTTTTGCGAACATACCAAGAAGGGGAATAGCTGGGTCAAATGGGACTTCTAGTGTTGGTATTAGTTTGTTGAGGACTTTCCATGCTGATTAATTTCTACAGTGGTTGCATCAATCTGCACACCCACCAACAGTGGAAAAGGGTTCCTTTTTCCTGCCAACATTTATTTATTTATTTTATTTTATTTTTTTGAGAGAGGGTCACATTCTAGTTCAGGCTGGTCATGAACTCACAGTTGTCCTTCTGCCTCAGCCTCCTGAGTGCTGGAATTACAGGTGTACACCACCACACCTGACATTGATTTCTTGATAATATGCCTTCTGGAGTGAGATGGAATCTCAATCTCAAATGATTAGTGATGTTAACCATTTTTTAAATATTTATTTGTTGTTTCTACTTCCTCATCTGAGAAGTGTCTATTTCATTTTTTTTTTTTTTCATTTTTATCGGTACTGGGGATCGAACTCACGACCACCTGCTTGCAAGGCAGGTGCTTATGCCGCTGAGCTAAATCCCCAGCCCCTGAAGTGTCTATTTCAGATACCCACTTTTGGATTGGGTCTTTAAATTTGGGGGATTTTATTTTATTTTATTTTTTAGTTCTTTATATATTCTAGATAGTAGTCCTTTGCCTGAGGAACAGTTGATAAAAATTTTTTTCCCACTTTTGGGTTGTGTCTTTACTCTGTTAATGATTTATTTTGCTCTGCAAAAGCTTTTTAATAAGATGAGATTCCAGTTGTTGATTCTTTGTGATAGTTTCTGTGCAACTCAGTTTTGTTTATAGTCTTTGCCTACACCAGTATCTTTAAGAGTTCTACCAACTCTATCTTCCAGCAGACTTAGTGATTCTGTTTTAATATTTATTTTGTTTTAATATTTAGATTGTTGATGCATTTAGTTTAGTGTATGGTGAAAGATATGGGCCTAGCTTTAGTCTGTGGCATGTGGAAAGCCAGTTTTTCCAGCACCATTGATTAAAGAGTGTTTCTTCTAGTGAAGGTGTTTGGCAGTTTTCTCAGACGTAAGGTGACTGTGTTTAGAATTGTTCCTTCATTTCCTAATCTGTTCCACTGATCCTTGGGTCTGGTCTTTTCTTTTTTTTTGTCTGTACTATTGTACTATTCTGTTTTTATCAGAGTAGCTTTGTAGTATAACTTCAAGTCAGCGATTGTGATGCCACTGCCTTGCCTTTGTTGCCTAGAATTGCTTTTGCAATTTTTGGTCTCTTCTGGTTCCAAACAAATTTTAGGATTGTTTTCCCTAATTCCAAGATATACTATTGATATTTTGATTGGAATTGCATTAAATTTGTATAACAATTTTGGAAGTACAGCCATTTTTCACTGTATTAGTTTTTCCTACCCAAGAACAAGGGTTATGATTTCATTCTCTGACATTCTTTTACTTCCTTCATTAAATCAGTCCTAGGTATTTCATTTTTTTCAGTGCTATTGTGAAAGGTGTGGTTTCCCCAGTTTCTCTCAGTGAGTTTGTTACTTTTGTATAGGAATGCTATTGATTTCTTTGTTGCTGTTGTTTTGAGCAGGGTCTCACAGTGCAGGCTGACCTTGAATTCATTTATGAGCCTGGCCTGTCAATCCTCCTGCCTCAGTCTGCAGTGCTAGGATTTATAGGCATTTGCCACCTTGGCCAAAAGTGCTATTGATTTTAGAGGGTTGACTGTGTATCCTGCTATGCTACTGAATTTGATTATTAAATCTAGAGGGTTTTGGTGTCTACTATGTAGCATATATGTTACCTGCAAATAATGATAATTTCACTTTTTCCTTTCCTATCCTTATTCCTTTTCTTCTTATCTAATTGCTTTGGCTAATGTTTCCAGAACTGTATTAAATAATAGTAGTAATAGTAGACATCTATGTCTTGTTCCTGATTTTAGAGTGAAAGCTTTCAGTTTTTGTGTATTTAGTATGGTGTTGGCTGTTGATTTGTCATAAATGGCCTTTATCAGATTGAGTTAAAGATTTTCCATTTCATTTTTCTGCAGAATTTTTTTATGAATGACTGTTGAAATTTGTGATATGCTTTTTCAGCATTTGAGATGATCATATAGTTTTAGTTCTTGATTCTCTTAATGTAGTAATTACATTTATTGATTTGCATATGTTGACCCATCCCTGCATCCCTAGAATGAATCCTACTTGGTGATGGTATAGAATCTTCTTAATGATTTTCTGTACTGTTTGCCAGTATCTTATTGAGATTTTTTTTTCTGTCCCACCCTCCTCCATCTTATAGATGTGGACAAAGAGGTTGTCATGAGCCAGATGTCACACAACCAGTATTCACATTTGAATCCAGGTAGTCCACTCTGGAGCCTCAGCTGTTGTCTTATTGAAACTTTTGCATCTGTGTTCATTAAGGAGATTGGCTGTAATTCTCTCTCTTTCTTTTTTTTTTTTTTTTTTGGTACCAGGGATCGAACTCACAACCTCATGCTTACCAGGGAGGCACTTAGGCCACTGAACTAAATCCACAGCTGTAGTTCTCTTTTTGATTGGATCTTTCTCTGGTTTTGGTACCAGGGTAATGCTTGCTTCTAGGAAAGAATTTGGCAATATCGCTTTTTCTTTCAATTTCATTAAAGAATTTGAGAAACAGTTCAACAGCAGAGAATCTGACAGGGCCTGGGATTTTCTGTGTTAATAAGTTTTTAATTATGAATTGAAATTTCATTGATAGCAGCTTATTTAGAATTTTTATATCTTTTTAATTCACCTTTGGTAATTCATGTATGTCTAGGAATCTCTATTTCTTCTTTTTTTTCAGAACATAGCTATTAGAACATAGTTTCTCAAGTTAGGTATTGGCAGTCTTATGGATTTCTGTGGGATCTGTGGTGATTCACCCTCTTCATTCCTAATTGCATGGATTTGGTCTTCTCTTTTCTTTTTTTTAGTAAGATTGACTAAAGGTTTGTCAATTTCGTTTAATCTTTTGAAGAATCAGCTGTTCAATTTATTGATGCTTTGTATCATTTTCTTGTCTCATTGCATTTATTTCTGATCTGATCTTTATGATTTCCTCCCATGTATAAAATTTGGGCTTGACTTACTCTTCTTTTTCTAGAAGCTTAGAGTCAACCTTAAGTTGTTTATTTGAGTTCACTCTTTTTTTGATATGGGAACACCTCTATAAATTTCCCTCATAAGGCTACTTTTGTTGCCTTAGATAAGTTTGTTATGTTGTATTGGCATTATCATTTAATTGTAGTAGGGGCCAGAGATATAGTTCAGCAGCATAAGTGCCTGCCTAACAAGCACAAGGTCAGGAGTTCAATTTCCGGTACCCATCCCCCCAAAA